CAAGAGTAACCCCTGAGCATTGCTGGGTGTGACCCCCCCAAAAAAAAAAGAAAAAAGAAAGCACAGTGAATTTGAAACGAAGCTCCACCTTCTCTGAATTGACCCGGAAGCTTGCCAGCAGCTTCTCTCTGCAGGATGGCAAGGAAGCTGCCCAGGCACTTTCTTTTGCCAGTCTCAGGGGGGCAGGAACCCCACTCCAGGCAGTCAGTCTCCTTCACAAGCAGCTGCTGCCCCATGCACACAGTGCCATCACAAGCTCCTTCAGTCTGCCCGAGAGCTGGGGCACACTTTCCCTACCCCCCACCCCCGCCACCTCACCTGACCTCTGGTGCCCTCCATGGGCTCAGACCCGCGTCTCTGAGACTGATTCATGAGGGCACAGAATTGCACAGCAGCCCTCGCCCCTAGTACCCAGGGTGGCAGAAGCTGGAGCTGGAGCCTGTGATAATTATGCTTTTGGCAAGCCATGAGGATGAAGCCTTCCTGACGAATGTTCCCCCCATCTCTCCAGGGCTGCAGCAAGAAGGCAGCCATCTGCCCAAGAACTGTGATAGGTGACTTTAGAGGTGGGGAGAAGAGAGGTGGCAGCCCCGGGAGGGCGTCTACCACTCTCCTCTCTGTTCACCTTGGTCACCTGGGGACACGCCTGGGAGGGTTGGGACTGATCAAATCTGCCGTGAGCACCTGCCCAGCTGGGACGCTGGCACTCCACCAGCTCCATCCAGCTGTCATCGGACAGTGCCTGAGTCCCACTTGGTCGACACTGCACAAGAATTCATCTTGGGGCCGGAGCAATAGTACAGTGGGTAGGGCATTTGCCTTGCACGCAACCAACCTGGGTTCGATTTTCAGCATCCCATATGGTCCCCTGAGCACCACCAGGAGTAATTCCTGAGTGTAGAGCAAGGAGTAACCCCTGAGCATCACCAGGTGTGACCCAAAAAGAAAAAGAGCCTTTCAGGAGGAGAGCCGGAGAGAGAGCACAGTGGGCAGGACTCTTGCCTTGCAGAGCTGGGCTTGAGTTTGGGCAGCTCCATATGGGGGGATTCCCAAACACAGAGTTGGGATTAAGTCCTGAGTGAACCAAAATAAACAATTTTCTTTTAAAGTTCTGGAAGAGACAAAAAGTGAAATAGAATAGTTTGTTTATAGATAAGATTGTGAAGAAGGAATGAGTCCCACATTCAAGAGGAAGTATGTGGGCTTCTCAAGAGGGGAGAGAGTCAAAGAAAGGAATTCTACACCTCAAATTGAGTTGCAGGCAGCCCCCAGTGTGCGGAAGCAACCCGCTTGCCTTTGCAAAGTCTCTCATATTTCCTCCCAAACTGCCCCCGCTTGGGGCTCTTTGTGTAGCTACGTCTGTTTCCAGGGTGTTGCCCAGGGTGTTGCTTTTAGCGGTGGCCCACTTTCGCACTCTTACCACAGCCTTTTGCTTCTGCAGGAGCTTCCCCTCTCCTGAGGGTCCCACTTCCTCTGGGCTGATGGCAATTTGTCATCTTTCTCCGTTTCTGTGCCCACTCTGAGGGCTTACCTTCGTGCCCTTTGGGGGGCTATTTTAGGCCTAGTGACAGAGTAGACTCTTTGAGTCACTTCTCAGTGTTATTTCTACTTGAGAATTCACTTCCAGCCCCACCTCCACCCCCAGCCCAGCTGTCTGCCTGCTTCAAGAACTCCACTGTGGCTGCTGAGCCCCGACTTCCAGCCTCTGTGAGGGGAGATCTGACATCACCACTCACCACACGGGGTTCACTCACATAGCACCTAATCCTCACTTGCAATACTGGAATACCTGCAATACTGGAATACCTGTAATAAGGCCATGAAAACCTCAGAAGTAAGGTCACCTTTTAGCCCTGCTTCTTCCCAGGTGGGGCCAGAGCAGCACCTGAAAGATGGACCAGGCAGGAGGAGGAGGAGCGTTTGTCCTGGCTTCTACTGAAGTAGCCTTGCAATGGTCTGCTGAGGGATAGACCCCAAGGTTAGTTCCCACGGATCCCTGTGGTTCCTGAGGAAGTGATGTCTTGCTTTTTCAACTCTTCTCCCAGGGGCCGGAGTGATCGTACAACAGATTGGACATTTGCCTTGCATGCGGTCAACCTGGGTTCGATTCCCAGCATTCCATATGGTCCTCCGAGCACTGCCAGGAGTGATTCCTGAGTGCAGAGCCAGGAGTAACCCCTGAGCATTTCCAGGTGTGACCCAAAAAGCAAAAAAAAAAAAAAAAAGAACCTCTTCTCTCAGTAGAAGCAGGCCCAGAGGGAGCTCACCTGCAGGAGAGCAATCCCAGGACAAAGGCACCTGGGGCTGAAGAACTATTGGGGGGAAAGCTGCTGCTCCCCCAGGCCTTCAATGGGAGCGAGAGAAGCATTTTCACCACTTCATGGCCTGGGTCTCCACGACTCAAAGCCAAAGGGTGCTGCTGTTTCTCTGTCACGGGACTGCAGCTGTCTGGTGTTCGGGAGCCACACAAGGGAGGGGATGTATGTGTCACCGGGCCTGAGCTGGCGCCCCAGTTCTCAGTAAAGAGCCTGCTGAAGGGTGGCCCTGGGGTCTGAGCACTCCCCTTGGGGTGCGTTTTCCTTGAAGGTCTCACTCAGGCTCCCTGTTCACCCTTCACATCCCAAGGGCCCCTGGGAATGTCTGCTCCGTGGGGTGGAATTGAACGCTGCCGTGTCCTGCAGTTGTGCTATTTGGGCTTATTTTCTAGCCAGCCCTGGATGTTGTGTCTGGTTTCACTAGATTACATGCTACTTTGGCAGGGAAAACAGCCTTTCGTGGTTGGTTTGTTTCTTTTTTAGAGTGGGGGGTGGAGGGCAACAGAGACCACTCCCATTGGTTCTTGGGGGACCATGTGGCACTGCAGCACTGCAGCACTGTGCTCCCGTTGTTCATCGATTTGCTCGAGCGGACCCAGTAACATCTCCATTGTGAGACTTCTTGTTGCTGTGTTTGGCATATTGAATACGTCATGGCTAGCTTGCCAGGCTTTGCCGTTGGGGTGAGATACTCTCGGTAGCTTGGGACTAAACCCGGGGCTCATGCATTCAAAGTCTGTGCTCCCTCCCTTTGAGCCATCTCACTAGACCCACCTTCAGTTTTTTAATAATTGGGAGCTTCTATTTTGCTTTGTTTTTCTGGAGGAAGGGGCACACCCAGTGGTGTGCAGGGGCTACGCCCAGAGCTAGGCTTTGGGGTCGCTCTTTGTAGGGGACCATGCTGGATCAAATACTGCCACCCACAGACAGAACTTGCACTAGTCTGTGGCACTCTCTCTCAGCCCAAACTGGGAACTCTACCTTGAATCTCCCAAATATCCTGGGCACAAAACTTTGTGAAGAAATGCAGCAATAAAGCGGGGAAGGATAACCTGACCAGATTCCGATACTAAAGAGGTATGTCGTCATTTCCAGCTGGCAGAGATGATTTTTGGGGTGCTACATGTGGCAGTGCTCAGGGGCTACCCAGGATCTTTGCCTGGCTGCAGCTCCTGGTAGTGGCAGCTGCCCATGCAGTGCAGGGGATCGGAGGTAGGTCACATGCACGCTAATTGGAATTTAAGAAGTAATGAAAGATATCGAAAGAGAGCAGTCAGGGCCAGAGTGATAGCTGAGTGGGGAGGGTGCTTGTCTTGCACGCAGTCAATCCAGTTTCGATCCCCGCATCCCATGTAGTGCACTCCTGAGTGCAGAACCAGGCGTAAACCCTGAGCATCACTGTGTGTAGGCCAAAAACCAATAAAATAAAATAAAAAGAGCAAGCAGTAGGGACACATAAGTAATAGTAGGGTGCTTGCCTTACACACAGCCAACCTAGGTATCCCATATGGGCCCCTGAGCCCACCAGGAGTGATTCCTAAGTATAGAGTCAGGAGTAAGCCATGAGCATAGCCAAGTGTCGCAAAAAAAAAAAAAAGCAAACATAAACAAGAACAGTCAGAATAATAGGGACCAAATGAGAGAAGGCCTTCCAGAGCTTAACTTAGAGACAATCTCCAAGAAGGGTTGGCTTGTTGAAAAAGGAAAAATCTAAAATTCCAGGAACCTACACTCAACTTCCCTTAGCTGTGACATGGGTCAAAATCAGTTTGCCCCAAGAGCTGTTCCTTAGCTTGATAATTCGATATTCTGTTTCCATCAGTGTCCTGGCTGTGTTCCATGGAGCTCTGACCCAGCCAGAGTTCAGAGAAGCTTGTTCCTTCTGTTTCTCCTCAAGGCTTCCCTACAGAACTGATTTTGAAAATCACTGATGCCAAGGACTCACTCCAAACTCTACAAAGACTCCAGTGTTAGGACTCCAATTATCTCCACAAAGTGAGAAGCCTTCCTACAAGGGGAGAGGGAACCCCCCCACCTCAGGGGTGCAAGGACCCCCAGATGGGGGGAGAGCATGGGCCTGTACCTCCAGTATCAGTGCCGGTGCTTGTGTGCATGTGTCCTGAACTATTTCACATCTCCTTTATCCTTCTTGTCCAGTGCCGGTTTTCATGTCTGTCCCCATTGTCCACTTGCCTCTCCCCACTCTCCCACCCTCCCAGTCTGTGTGCCCCCTGAGCCGACCCCTTCTGGGTCCCTGAGCTGGAGTCCTGGGCATGGCACATGGTGTTTGAGCTAGAAGCCAGTAAGAGATTCAGAAGAGGCTGTGCTAAATCATGTGTCAGGGCCTCAACAACAGGAAGTACAATCCCCTAACGGCCCCAGGCTCAAAGCTGGGTTATACCCCACAGGTGTCCGTGCACTGTGGAATCCTAAAGAAAGGAGGCATGGGCTATCATGTGTGCGAGCCTTCAGGACATTGCACAAAGTGAGCCAGCCAGTCACCAAGGGATAATGACTGTGGTTCTGTTGATGGGGCTATAGAGAACGGTGCAGTTCGTGGAAAACAGAGAGGACACACAGAGAGAGGCAGAGGGGGGTGCCAAGTAGTTTCCTCAGATGGAAAGGCTCAGTTGCACACAGTGAATATGCCTAACTCTATAAATTGAAAAGTCGAACGCTTCAGAATGGTTGAGAAAGAACTCTTACATTATGGCATTGTACCACAAATTTTAAAAAGCAGCAGCAGGAAGAACCATTTGAGGCATCCCTGGTGTCTCCTGGTCATCCTGGCATCCATCTTCCTGCTAATGCCCTGGAGGAGAGAAGGGGATTGAGTACCCTCTGCCCGGCACACATGCCCAGTTCTCTGCTCGCTGCCCCGCATAGGGCCTTACCCAGCTCCCCTGGCCCCCAGATACTGTTTCTTCTCTGGGGATACAGAAGCCCTCGGGGGACAGTGGCTCCTGGGAAAACCCACTTGATTATTAAATTCATTCCATTTTTTAAAGAAAATTGACTCCGAGACTAGTTGGGAGTGGAGAGGTCAGCCCAGTCTTGCCAGAGCTGTTTCTCTAGAGCTAGAGCTCAGGGCCCAGAAAGTCCTTGGGGCTTTGGCTCAGGGACAAGCCCAACCTCATCTGTGTCCTCCTATGCTGCTCTCTCCCTCACCTGGGGAGGGCTAATGCCCAGGCCCGGCCCCTGGACCAATGAGCAGGCAGAAAGGGCCTCCCTCCTCCTCCCACACCCCTCCAGGATGGCACCAGGCCATGGACCCTCTCTCCTATGGAACAGCCTTGTCACCTACAGTATGGACAGGAGACCCCAGGCCCATGGGAGTGGTCCTGTCATATGGGGCCCTGGGAGAAGCTCAGGCAGGAGAGTTGCAAAGGGCCACGGTGGCAGAGTCAGCAGGAAGGGAGCAAAAGAGGCACTGGTGCGCACTTGCAGCCCAGTTTCCAGCCAGGGGGTTGGACAAGACAGCAGGGGTCTAGGGAGGTCAATTGTTGGGGGTCCAGGTGATGTGGGACGCCACAAGAGACCAGGAGGGAGAGGCTGCACTCACCCTGGAGGGATCCGCTTCACCCCGACATGATGTGCTTGACAAAGGCTAAGAACAAAGATGCCAATCAGTGCCGCACCCCACCCCTCTTGGCCTCTTAAACCGCTTCTCCCTGCTCCTTCCCATACTGACCTAAACCTCCCGCTCCGCCTTCTCTGGCCTGCCCTGTGGAACTTTTCCCATTGGGGGCGGGTGTAGTGGTGCCAGGAGCAGAGAAGCTAAGGTGCTGCTCGGGCAGACAGAACTCCAGCATCTCTGCTATCCCCCAATACTTGGAGCAAGGTATCCACCCGTATCACCCCATTCTTCCAGGAGGAAACAGGGCTCAGAGGGAGCAAGCAGCTTGATAGAGGTCACATTGCTAGTGTACCCTGAGCTTCCCCCATGTCCATTTCCCCTCCATTACCCTTGGGTGCTCGCTCCCAGCATAGAGAACACATGCCTTAGGAGTGCCCTGGAGTGCAGGTGGTGCCAGACCCCTTTGGGCCCCAGGCTCCCTCCCATTCTGCCCAATCTATGCTCTTGCCCTGGCACCTGGTACCTTCATAATTGATGCAGCCGTTGGCATCCTCTTGCCCAGCCAGCAGCTGATCCACTTCCGCCTCAGTCATCTTCTCTCCTGAGGTGAGGGCAGTGAACTCTCACTCCAGACAGCAAAGGGAGCACAGGCAAACACAGTACCCTCTGGCCTGCAGGCTCAATCAAGGCTCCCTCATCTGAGAAGCCTTCCAGGCTTCCCCCAGCAGCCTTGCAGGGAGGGCTTCCAGGCCCCTGGGCCTCACCCTCTGCCTCAGTGGGTGAGCAGACCAGGGCTTTGTGACAGGCACAGGGGCCATACAGAGCTCCGTGGGCTAAGTGCATACACAGCAAGTTCAGGAGGCAACAACTGCAGCCCCAAGGCCACAAGGTCCCCTGAGCATGGGCCAAGAGTGAGCCCCAAGCACAGAGCCAGCTGTGCAATAAAATAAAGTCAAGGATATTTTTCTGAATGGGCCTCGGGACCAGGCTCTGCTAAACCTGTTAAGTAAAGCTGATTGAAGGAGGGTATCCTGCCCAGGAGCGTAAAGCCTGGACTAGACTGTGACCCTTGGGAGGCAGAGACCCTCCTCCCCCATTCACCCCAGCACCTCCCGGCCTGCCTCCCGCTTGGCATACCCAGGGTGGCCAGCACATGGCGCAGCTCAGCGCCCATGACTGTGCCATTGCTCTCCTTGTCAAAAACACGCAACCCCTCCACAAAGTCCTCCTCGGTGCCCTGCTCCTTGTTGCGGGAGATGTGCTGCAGGATGGGCAGGAAGGTGTCGAAGTCCAGCATCTTGCTGTTCATCTCTGCAGGAGCACAGAGCACGAGAAATAGAGTCAGGTGAGTAGGGGTGTGAGTGGAGGGTAGGGAAAGCCCCCCTCGAGACCTCCCTTCCCCCCCGCCACACACACACAGATCTGTGGGGCTGGGACCCACCACAACACCAACACTTAGTGGCAGCCACTCATGGCTGGGGCATCTGGTTACTGGTCCAGGGGGACCCTGGCTCTAGGCACTCCTTGAAAGGACAAGGGCAAGAGAGGAAAAGGGTCTCTGAGCTCTGAGTGGCAGGATACAAGGTGCCCAACGGACCATTCAGTCCAGACCTGACAGTCACATTTCAGACTTCCAACAGGTGACAGACAGTCACAGAGGGAAGCTGATGGCACTGAGTTGTGCACAGGGGCCAGAGAGATAGAGCTACAAGACCAGGTTTGATCCCTTGCACCACATGGTCCCCCCAAAATACCAGATGTGGCCCAAACTGGCCCTCTTCACATTTACAAACTGCATTCAGATGTTGTTACTAGACCACACGGCCAGAGCTGACTGAGAATCAACCCTTCTAAATGTGCAGCTCCTCTGTAAAAGCGCCCGGCTCCTAAGACTACATTGTACCATGTCCAAAGCTTTAAGGTGATGGATGTAGACCAATTCTTGATTCCAGACATGTTGGTTCAGAGCTAATGTATGCTTTGCAGATATAAAGGTCTATGTGCATAGTCCCTAAGCACTGTGGGGTGTGACCCCCAAACCAACCAACCAATAGAAAAGCAAACGGTGCTCTTTGCATGCCCAGGTAATGGCCCAGGAGAGGGAAGAACCTGCTTAGGAGTTGGTCCCTAAGAAACCCTCATGAAAGAGAGGCTCCTGGTTTTCTAGGCCTTCCCTGCCCACACCCCCACCAACTCTGGGCTCAGCAGCTGCAGGAAGCAGGGAAGGTGCCAAAACCCAGGAAGCATGAGGGACAGCAAGGAGGCTTTGCTGGGGGCCCTCCCTCAAAGGCCAAGCAGCTCTGGGCATGGGGAACATGCTGGACGCCTGACCTTCGGGCTTGGGTTTGCCCAGCATGCGCAGTACTTCGGCGTTCGTGGGATTCTGGCCCAGAGCCCGCAGCACGTCCCCACATTGCCCGTAGGTGATCTTCATCTCTCCGCTCGGCGTGCGGTCGAACAAGGAGAAGGCTTCTTTGAACTCTGTAGAGAGAAGAGCCGGCTGACAACCCTGGGCCACGGCAAAGTAGGGCTGGGGACTGGTCCACTTGGCGGTTATTACTAAATTTCCTAATTCTGGAGCCATCTGAGAACTGGTGAGACCAGGGCTGATATTCAAGGAGTAGGGCTGAATTAAGGCAATCATGGGTCCTTTGCAAAAAAAAAAAAAACCCACTAATTCTCTTTAATGTGGATCCAACCAATTTATTACTGGGGATAATATGGAGGGAAATGGCACTGGAGTTACTCTAGCCAAAAAGAAATGGTTTGCTAAGCAGATTAATGATATTAATCACAGAGGAATGCTTCAGCCACTTACAAGAAAAGCCGTTTTTCATTCTCCAAATGATATGAAGGACTTCAGAAAAACTAATTTCTTTACAGGTTGCATATGGATTATTTACAAACCATTCCACATATCAAAATGGGTGTCTAGAGAGGTTTACTTGCAGCTCTTTGTTAGGCTTTGTATGAGTTTAAAAGATATCAAACCATATGTCTCTCACATTATTGAATAATTTAGTTCATATTCCATTTGTATTGCTTCATAACTGTATGGCTTGGTAAGTAAATGTTTAACTTCTATAAGTCTCTTTACTACAGTATACTACCTAACTTACATTCAAATTAAATAAAATAATAAATATAAAAATATTAAAGCATTGGTCTTGTCACATACAAGATTAATGCACAAACAGTGCAGTCAGTGTTACTGAGTTTAATTCCAATTCTACCACTGAACTGTAAGCTCAGGTCAAGCTACCTTGCCTCCAGGAAGGAACCTTGGTCTCTTCTATGAAAAGGCACTGGGGGAGGTGGGGGTGGTCAGAGGGACACTGGAAACATTGGTGATAGGAAATATACACTGGTGGAGGGATGGGTTTTGGAACACTGTGTGACTGAAACCCAATCATGAACAGCTTTGTAATGGTTTATCTCATGGTGATTTAATCACTGTCACTGTCACTGTCCTCCCATTGTTCATGGATTTGCTCGAGCAGGCCCAGTAACATCTCCATTGTGACACTTGTTACTGTGTTTGGCATGTTGAATACGTCACGGGTAGCTTGCCAGGCTTTGCCGTGTGGGCAAGATACTCTCAGTAGCTTGCCGGGCTCTCCGAGAGGGGCGGAGGAATCAAACTTGGGTCGGCCATGTTGGCTGCTTGTAAGGCAAACACCCTACCTGCTGTGCTATCACTCCAACCCATTGTGAACTACTTTATGAAAATAAAATGTCTAAAATTCGCAAATAAAAAATAAATAAATAAGTAAATAGAAAGTGTGTGTAGGGTGGGGCTGTGGCAGAGCAATAATACAGTGGGGAGGCCATTTGGCTTGCATGCAGTCAACAAAATTCAATCCCTGGCATTTTATATGGCCCCTGAATCCCACCAGGAATAATCCCTGGGTGCAGAGACAGTAGTAAGCCCTGATAACTGCCAGTCGTGGACCAAAAATAAAAGTAAAATAAATAAAAACTGGAGGGGGGTGGCGTTGGAAATTAAAGCATTTAGGGGCAATCCTAATTCCCTTCCTTTCCCAGTATTCTTCTGTTCTTGGGTTGCCTGAAGCACAGTATGTATATAGGAGCCTTTTCATGAACCAGCTAATCCAGCAGAAACTTTGCGTTTGATGTGACAGTCACTACTTTCTCTTGGCCAAGGCTTGCAGAGAGCAGCAGAGATGAACTCAAGGTCATACCTAAGGCAATGATGTGGCTTTGCACTTGTGGTGGCCATGGCTTCTTTCCTCCAGGGAAAAACCTGATATACCAAAGGTTCCAACACTCCCTGTTACATTATACCCCAAGTTTTGATTTGGCTGATTTAGTGGGGAGTGAGAACCATGCAGACATGTCTATTTCCTGCTAGCTCTTCTTGTGGTGAATGAGGGTGGCAGTAGGTGCAATCTTTGGACAAACGTTCTTTTCTGACTCATGGACTTCGTCAGCCAACCTGAGCACCAGTATTAGTAATTCCCTCCTGGAAATGCCAAAACTCTTTAGACCACAAAGTAGATGAATATAATACAAGGTATAGCCTTATACAAACAATTATGTAATGTATTATGCTACTTGTAGAATTATTTTTATCTTAAAAATTCTTTTCTGTTCCAGGAAGCATCCTATTAATAAGTACTCTATACTAGCTATTGTCCTTCACATTCAAAAAAAAATGTGCCCTGAATTATACAGTGCATGTGCTATTTCCTTTTGGTGTATGTGAAGGTGGGTACCATGACTTCTTGTTTAGATCTTTACTACGCTGCATTCTGTAAAAATAATAATAGTGAAATAGCAATCACAAATCTGCTGAACAAATAATGCTGGCCAAGGATAAGAAGGGGTGTGGAAGGTTGTAACCAAAAGAGCAGCAGAATATAGTCAGGAATTTATAAATCACAAATAACATGGATTCAATTTAAACTTTTCCCCCTTTTTTCATTCAATAAACATTTAGTGAGCACTTACAATGCATAGACAGTGCCTGGGATGCTTAGAAGATACCCAAACACAAAATAGCCAAGATGCAGAAAAAACCCTATGAGAGGAGAGTGAATAAATATGATGTGGTATGTGTACACAAAGTAATACTTTGCAGCTACCATGGAACACTAAATCTTGCCTCTTGCAGTAATCTGGATAGAACTAGAAAGGGGTCAAGTTAAATGAAGTAATTCAAAAGGAAAAGAGACATTTATATGTGCAATACAGAGAAATAATGAAAGGAAACAAACAACAAACAAAAAAAAAACAAGAAAAAATAAACCCTTGAACTCAGTTTGTAGAGTCAAAACTACTAGGGTGGAGGAAAGGGGAGCCCCATAGACTGTAATGGAGGAAGACTAATTTGTGGTGGTGGTGTGGTAACATGAAATTTGAAGATGAATTTAAAATCTTTTAAAAAGACAAAGAAAAGTCACCTCACTTGTGAGGAGAATTTTAAAAAGAATTTTTTTAAAGCAATTAACACAAATTCTGCCTCAGGCACAAATTCTGAGTTTTACAGATTAGTATTTGTTAATTAAATCTGAACTCACACTTTTTGATTTTTCCCTAGTTCATTAGAAGAGGAAAAATCACCTCAGATAAAAGAATGCAAAAATTAGAAGGATGGGGGCTGGAGAGATAGTACAGTAGGTAGAGCACTTGCCTTGCACCTAGCCAATCCAGGTTCAATTCCCAGCACCCTATGTGGTCCCCTGAACTTGCCCAGGAGTGATACCTGAGTACAGAGCCAGGAGTAAGCCCTGAACACTGTGGGGTATAGCCCCAAAACCAAAGCAAAACAAAACAAAAATGATAAGATGGGTGGAACAAAAAAAGGAAAGTAAAAAATAACAACGACCTATAATTTGAGCACTTTTACACTGAACTGATAATTTTTCATTAGTAACCTCATTCTTCTTTTTTTTGGTGGTCCCTGGCATTGAACTCAGAGCCTCACACATGCAAGTCAAGTCTTACCACAGTTGTATCTCCAACCCATCTCATTCGTGTTAACAAAATTTTGTATTATAAATGAAGTTAAATGAAGTAATTCATTTACATATAAGTGTAGATGAGACTTCTGACCAACAGGACAACCAAGGGAATAGGAAGGAGCAGAGAGGAAGAGAAGGAAAAAGAGGAGGAAAAGAAAACAGCCTGCTATATCTGCTAATGTTCCAAATTCCTGGGAAGCCTGGTCCACACATCAAAATTAAACACTGAAGTTTAGGGATGTGACTATGAAAATGCAAAGTCACTGTGTTCTGGATGATAAGAGGTGATGCTCCTAGGCCAGGAAGTCAGCTGCTTGCTAGAGCAATCTGCAAAAGTAAAAATTCCTATCTGAAAAAATATGAAAATCTAGATGGAACCAGAGAAGAAAGTCAAAGTTCAGAAGCTAGAAATCAAAAAATAAATAGACATCATATTGAAGTAGGTAGATAAATGTAGCAGGGCGGGGAATACCTGGCAATGAGTTTCTCAGAAGTAACAAAACCAAGGTGTGATCAAAAGAAGTTACTCAGTCCCTCGACCTAAACCAGGAGCAGCAGTGAGAATTAATGCGGCAGCCCATGCAGTATGCAAGTGATGACACGTAGTGGTGAATGCAAGCAAATAAAAAGGCGATGGCAAATATAGGATCACCACGACTATTACTTAGTACCTCGGTGATGACAACTGTTCCTCCTCTTGCTCCTCCTCCTTCAGGGAAGTGCAGGAAAACAGGGAGTGGGTGCATGTGGTGGGGAGGGGGAGGGTGTGCGGCTGACAGGACTCACCTTCAATCTGGTCGGCGGTGAAGTCTATCTGTGGGGAGGGAACACAGAGGCATGAGGGCTGGTCCTGCTGAAGGCTTCCTGAGAGAAGCAGAAGTGACCTCCACTGGAGTGGGTTCCCCTTCAACAGCCCTTGGGAAGGAGATAAGGGCTACGTGTGAAGCCCCAGGCTCCTGATGAATGGACCACAGATGGGAACCATATACGGTGCCAAGGATTGAACCAGGGTCAGTCACATGTAAGGCAAGAGCCTTCACCTCATGCTCTCTCTTTGGCTCCTGATGCAAACTTTAAATGGAGTGCCTTCAAAAAAATTTTTTTAAGGGGCTGGACTGATAGTAGGGTGGTTAGGCACTTACCTTGCATGCAGCCAACCTGGGTTGGATTCCTGGCATCCCGTATGGTTGCCCAGGCACTACCAGGAATAATTTCTGATTATAGAACCAGGAGAAACCCCTGAGCATTATAGGGTGTGGCCCAAAAACAAAAAAAAATTGAGTGTCTTCAGAGGAGTCTTTCCTCATCCTATTCTCTGGGCCAGCAAGGTCATTAGTGAGGGCCCTCCTGGTGTCCTAACCAGTTTCCAACCCTGCCTAAGTGTTCCCTGACTCCCTGAAGCCTGTGTTCCCTCAGACAGAAAGCTCGTATCATTGTTCAGTGAAATGTTTGGCACAAGGTAGGTATTCAAAAAATATTTGTGGGCAAAAGAATACACTTAGGATCCCCTCCCAATGTGTAATACAGCCGAGGGAAGCTCCGAGAATGAGTGATAAAGAAGAGGCATGAGTCACTATTTTAATTTAGGATCTTCATCATCCTCATTTCCTACCACCCTGGTCCCCCCTACACTGGGGAGGCACCCACAGGGCATTTCCCCTTCATGTTGCTTCATTACTAGTCCCAGTCTGGCTGCTGTGTCATCCCGGGCTGACCTTCGTTATCGGGACCCCTGGTTCCCGAACTGAGCTAGGAGAGCCTAAGAAGGGTTACCCCAGATTGGAAAGGAAACCCACAATAGCCAGAAATGACATATATCCACTTTGCAAAAAGTGGGAAGCCACCACCTTTGAGAAAGTCACCACAATTCCATAAATGGGGCAAAGGGTGATCGGCATGAATTCTCTGAGGAAAAAGTTGCAGCGTGCCTTGCTTTGTGATACTTTGAGCCCCAGGAACGAACACATGAGAGAAATTAGCACAAACATATAACATCAGGAACAGAAGAGATGGTTCAATGGAGCTCACGCTTTGCATGTGGGAGGCCCCAGATTCAATCCCTGGCACTGTGTGTGGTCCCTGACACACGGCCAGAGTGACTTCCCAAGGGTTATATATAACCCTCAGAATATGTTGGGCTTCAGTTTACTTTTGTTTTGTTTTACGTGTGCTCAGGGGCCATGCCTGGCTGTGGGACCATCTGTGATGCCAGGATTTGAACCAGGGTCGCAGATACAGCTGCATGCCAGGAAAACAGCCTAACTATCCTTACTAAGTGCCTTTGTACTAACCTCCCAGCCCACTTTTGCTCTATTTAATGGTCGTCCAAAGGGATGCCTGATTTTGTTTCCACTTTCATGAAACTGCAACAATTCCATATCGGAAACTCCAGGTGGATGTGCAAGAAGATTGCAACTGGGAGTGTGAAATCAGGGGAGATGGGGGATGAAAGGGAAGGCTTTCTCTTGACCTGAAACAGCTGCTCCTATCTCTCTAGTGGAGGACTTTAACCAGGACAGATCCTAACTCGAGGTGGGGGAGTTGGGCTTTCTAAGCCACGTTCTTCCTTCAGCTATATCTAAGGTCTTACATGATGTCCAGAGAGCTCTGTACACCCCCTGCCCCTGGAGGGAGCCACAGATAGACCCAGGGCCCCCCTGGTTCTGCTGCTGATTGTGTGGATGTGGGTGCTGGGACAAAGCCTGAAGGGCCAAGGAGGACAAAGCGACTAGAGCACTGACATTAGCTTCCCAGCCTACTTGTCAGAGATCTTGGTCCTATACTCTTATTTTGATCTAATTCCTCCCCGCTCCAGCCCAACTCTAGAGTTGATATCCCCAGAGACCCACCACTCCCAACCTGTTATTAATAACTCTCCAAACCAGTAGCCATTGACCTCTTAGAATCTGATGCCAAGCCTTAGAACCGCCTGCGCTCCAGAGACCTCCGAGCTCTCCCTTCCTTGCCCCTTCCCTTTCCAGTTCCATTCCTTTAGATGCTGAACCAGATGGTTGGGAGGCCTGAATGGCTGAGTCAGCATCCAGGGCCTAGAGCAGCTCTGAGAAGAGGAACCTTCCTCTGACATGGGGCAGAGAGGGAATAGGGGTGACAGCAGAGTGAACCATGCTTAGCTCACTTGCAGGTTAGGGGTGATGATCTCAGCAGGAACAGCCCAGTCCTCTGCATACTCCAGATAGCAGCCCAGGCTGAGGCCACAGGAGGGGCCCATCTGGGTTCAGGAAGAAAAGAATGGGGGCTCTGGGGATAGTTTGGTGACTTAGAACACCGTCCCTTGGTGGTGTAAGGCCATGAGTCCCTGGTGCCACCACACACGCAGAGTATGATCTTGGTGAGGCAGCTGCTTAAACTTGGCAGCTCTGCTGTCTACGTGCCCACCATGGTCAAGAAGTACGGGTCCTGGTGAGCGCCCGCATGAACACAACAGTGACCCCCAGCAAGCATGTCAACCAGAATGTGCGCAAGTGCCAGAGTTAAATAGTGTGACCCCTGGCCTGGAGGAGATTGTGCAAGGGCTATGTGCATACTTTGCATATGGAGGCCTAGGTTTGATTCTCAGCACTACTGGGATTGACCCCTGAACACAGAACTGGAAGTAGACCCCCAACTGCCACAGGGTAAGCACACAAAACAAAAATCAAAAATCCCTAAGTGCAATCCCTAAGGGTCAGTGATGTAGCTCTGCGGTAGAGTTTGATCGCTGCCCCCCCACCAATACACACACAAACACACACACACACACACACACACACACACACACACACACACACACAGGGAACACAGCCCTAGCACCACAGCTCAGGGAGCACCATGCTTGTGGAACACTGCAGCCCAGCATGTAAAAAATGCCGTCTGATGTGCAACTGCAGCAAGCAGCACAGCTGAAATGCACGCATATCACAGCCAGACACGTAAGTCACCCCTGGCCCTCACAGCCACGAGGGTGACAAAAATGGAATAGGGAAATAAAATTTTTTCAGCTTTTTCTAGAGAAGGGGTTCACACCTGGTGATGCTTAGGGGTTACTCTTGACTCTGCACTCAGGAATTACTCCTGGTGGACCATATGGGATGGACCATATGGGATGCCGGGAATCAAACCCCAGCAAATGCCCTACCCACAATGCCTACTACCTACTCCAGCCCAGAAATGAATTTCAAAGGGAAGAGAAAGAACAGGTTTACCTCACCTTGCCTACCTACAGCTGCCCTCCAGGGCCCCCCACAGCCAGGGCTTCTATGAGAGCCCTTCGCAGCTGCGCAGGGCAGCCCCATGGCCCTTCCCTGCTTTGCTCCTCATGCCAGTTCCACAGGCAGCTGTCTTGGTCTCTTCTCCAGAAAGCCACTGATCTCTGAGGAATGGTTAGCTCTAGCTGGGAAGGGGGCCCCTGCCTTAGGAAAGGCTGGATGCCAAATCTGTCACTGGGCATAGTTAGGGGGACAGAGTAGGACTTCCTCAGAGGGAAAAGGTCAATACCCTGCCTCAGTGGCCCTGACGCCTGCTCCACCACCCTGTGGGACTGTGAGCTGCAGCCCGGCTCTTCCTCTGGGAAGTAAGTCGCTTGGCTTCAGGGCCTTCTGGATTCTGAATGAGCACCCTCCCCACTCCCTGGGGCTGAGGCTCACTTACCTTCACACTTTTGGGATCAAAGGCAGGTTCCTTGGGTGGCTCAGGAGCAGGGGCCGGAGCTGGAGCCGCCTTGGCCGCTTCCTTCTTAGGCTCTGGCTTCTTGGGCGCCATGCTGCGTATGGTTGGGGTGGAGGGGAGACCTAGGAGGTAACCCACAGAGTCAGCTCGTGAGAGAGGAGACAGGAGGCTAGGTCACCTCCTTTCCTTTTATCCTGGACAGGAGTCCCCCTCCCCCCAGGGAGAAAGGGTGAGAGCAAGAGTGACTGTTGAGGACTATAAAAGGAAAAAAAAACACCAACAGGGTACAGATGACAACTATGTATTGTCACCAGGTTTGGGGCTACCAGCCTGCCTCCCCCCACACCTCACACCCCTCTCAGCCTCCACCTCCGAGACAGGCTGGCTCCTTCCTGACGATTGGTGGAAATCCAGAGGGGCCAGGAAAACAGACCCTCTCCAAACTGTCAGCGTGCAGCCAAAGAGATGAGCTTTGAGCAGTTGATAACCCTCACACAATGCGCAGGGGAGGAGGAGGCTTTTTTTAGCCCCTCCTGAGCAGAGGCAGCCCACTGCACATTCCATCTCCGCCAAGATCCTCTACACTCAGAGCCACTGTGGGGCCATGCTCTGCCCTGAGGCTCAACTCTCTGGCCTGGAACTCGAAAGCAACAGATGGTCTGGCCAACCTACACTGTCCCAATCCACAGGGCAAGACCCTCATCCTCCAGAGTGGGCATCCCAGGAAATCCACAGACCCTAAATCCCAGAACCAACACCCTCACCTACTCCGCACTTCACAGAGAAACAGAGGTATGAGTGAAAGTTGGTGGGAGTAGGGGTCAGAAATTCTGAGCTGATTTTACTGCTCCTCCAAAATTCTGTGCTCTGTGGACTCGTGTGTGTGTGTGTGTGTGTGTGTGTGTGTGTGTGTGTGTGTGTGCTCACAGTGCTTATTGTGCACAAGATGCTAGTAAGAGTTGCTCATAGGGAAGGATGGTACAGAATAAGGTGTTTGCCTTGCACATGGCTGGTTCATCTGATCCCATGAACTGCATATGATCCCCCCATGTACCACCAGAGATGGCCCTTGAGCACAGAGTAAGCCCTAACCAGAGCTGAGTGCAACCAGAGGAAAGAACTCTCTCACCCAGAGAAAGAATTACTCATATAAGCTATTGTCTGATTTGGGAATCACATCTGGAGGTGGTCAGGGGTCACTTCTGGCAGTGATCTTGGAATGCTGCATTGGTGGGAATAAAACCTTGATCTCCCACATGCAAAACACATTCCCACACTCTTTGAACTATATTTCTGGATCCCCATAGAGACTTTTTAATTACATCCTTACCCCAATCCTATAGGGTAAGTGTGATTATTACCCCCATTTTATACCTAGGGAACTTGAGACGAGTCGTTTAGTACCAATGTCACTTAGCTAATTAAATGTGAGCTGCAGTTAGAACTCTAGCTGTCTGATTTGAAAGCTTATGTATGAATAATTAAGATTATTACACCATTTATGGGAATGGAGACATAAAAGCTTATGTGTTCATCAGAAAGGTCAGGAATGATACACACTAAGCTACAAACAAGAGATAACCCTGGAGATCAAGGTGGTGAGCAGGGGAGGATGACAGCAATTGGCAGGGCTGGTATTTTTCTCACTTCCTCTGTTCATGGAAAATTTTTAAATAGGCGTGTACTGTTTTCGTATAAAAAAACAGTACTGAATGCCAATTAAATGGTCTGAAAAACAACATAAATAACATATCCATTGCACAGAATTACTTTGAGATGAATCTTGAGATTCCTGAACTCTGTAGTTCGAAGGACAAACAGGAATATATTAGAAATGGCTGAGTCCCTGCCCTTCCAGTCCTGTTTCCTCAGCTCTGGAGTACAAGTGCCTGACAGCATGGGCTTTGTCTCCTGATCTCATGCCAGGCTCAGTCAGAGTCCACAGGGCACTGGGAGGTGATCGAGTCCCACCTCATTACACTCAAGGAGCCTAGGGCCCTGGGAAACATTTGAGCGGAATCTGGTTAGCTACAGGCTGAGCTGAGCCCACTGGCTCTGGCTGCCTGTGTGCAGGTCCTTAAGACAGTCTATCCCCTGCTCTAGTCTGTCTCCTCTCTCCCTGCTGGTGGGCAGAGAAGTCTTGAAAGGAAACCCACACAGGAAAGGAGAACAGGTCTGGCCTGAGGGGCCACAGAGCACTCAGCCTGTTTGGTCCTGGGCAGGGCTGGCAGTTCCTTCAATCTTTCCCGGTTCCTCTTCTCTCTTCTGTCTCACTTCCTCTCTTCCCCGGGTGCCTGCTCAAACCTTTCTCTGTTCCCTTGCAGTTCCCTCCTATCTCAGTCCTTGGAAGCCTGGAGGTTCAGGTTGGGGGTGACAAGAGGAAAGAGGAAGCCCAGCCTCTCCCTGCTCTCAGCTCCCACCCTCACCTTCTTCCTGTAGTAGGTAGCCTTGTGGGATTTGCTCAGATACCCAAAGACAGCAAAGCTGCAGGCCAGTCTGGAAGACCCAGGCAACTATCCTGACCTGCCAGCCACTTCCCCTCTTGGTGCCTCTGCACACTTATCTCTAAAGATAAGACAAGAGCTTTCAAAGCATGTGCAGAGACACCTGGGGCTCCCCTGACTTGCCGCTGGCCGGTGTAAGAGAAATGGGCAGCCCAGACCCTTCAGTCAGCACCACTCCCATGTGTCTGATATGCTGAGCACCCCGTGATCATCTTCCAAGAAAGATCCTCCACGGCTCAAAGGTTTAAAATAACCACTGGATGTGATGTGCTGATATGTCCCCACCCAGTTGAAATGCAGCTATTTTGGTCTTTTGAGAAAGAAGGAGAACCTTCAAAAAACAGAGTGGAGAGTTCCTGCCGTCGGCTTTCATTTTTCTTTCTCTCTTTGCTCTTTTTCTTGGTTAATTCTGGAGAGAAGCAGCTATCCTGGCTGTTTGGGAAGAGCTAAGGAGTCAGGAAGCTGGGAGAGCTGTGTGGGACTGAGGGACATCCACAAACACCAGAGAGTGTGGGGCTCAGAGAGCCTAGCACAGCGCCCTCGGGACCTTTAACCAGGACCATTTCCCTCTCCAGTTGTCACATCTGTATGGACTGGAGTGTGTTAGGCCTCGTACACCAACTTTAGCTCTTAGGAAAGCCACAGGTACTGAATTTCACACTGGTTTTTCTCAGACAGATGAAGCAGGGGGTATGCTCAGGTTTTCCCAAGAGAAACTCTAGGAAAGGGGACCCCTATGACAGAGGCACAAGAGACAGGGCAGTGGAAAATGTGGAAAGTCAAGTATGGGCTCAGGAGTGAGGGAGACGTGAACTGGAACGGGCGAGGAAGATGGCAGAAGCTGTTTTCCCTGGTTGAAATGTCTGTGGTTCCAAAAGCATGAGTAATCCCCTGGGCCTGGTGGTAGACCTGTCAGCCAGAACTTAGATGAGGAGCCCACTGACCTGAGACCTTAGGCCCTAGGCACCGCAGAAGGGGAGGAGGTGCTCTTCAATCCATTCATTTTTCTTTAAGCTTCCCCACCTTTCAGAAAGTGTCTGGCACTTCAGGACTAGCAGAGGGCTGTGAATGTGTCTCAATGATAGACCACACCTGCCTTGCATGTGTGTCTTTGATTCTGCCATGGGGGTGTTGGGGGGGGGGGCATCAGGGGGATCACAGCAATGAGTAGCAGAGAGCTGTGGTTTCCTAGACAGCATGTGCTTGTCTTTGACTTCTTATCACTGAAACTCATGAGCGCAGTAAGTGAGGTCAGATGTTTCACTTCCTCGTGGTCTACCCTTCATGTCCATAGTCACAGGCTTTGACTTGCAGATCTCGTCCCACCAGAAAAACCTTCAGAGGACCTAGGACAAGGTCTTCCTCGCTAGTCCCTGGGCACCTACCGGAGCAAAGAGAAGAAGAGACTGCAGAGATCCGGACAAAGCAGGTGCTGGAAGCCCAACAACCACCTCTGGGGGCGGCTGTGCAATTCCAGAATTACTCGTGCCCACGCACATGAGCCCCGGAAGAACTTCTAACTCAGGAGCTGGAAAACACAGGACAGAATTTCATACAACTGGTTTATCAAATTCAGAGACCCACACAGGGCAGAGAACTGACCTCTGCCCATATTTGGTGCTGGGCCTAGGCACAAACCCCACTTCCTCTCTTCCCCTCTAATCTTACAGGGTCTGTGTCCTGCCCAAGAGACCCTCGAGTCCCCTGCCTAGACTAGATGTCACTGACAGCAGGCCTAGCTGCAGATGCCTTTGTCCTCATTGCTCTCCTTCCCCGTTTCAGCCTCAGCTACACAGCAAGGGACCACGCCCTGGAGAACAATTCCCTTCATCTGTTCCCACAACAGGCTCTAGGCAGATCCTGCTGTTTCAAGGCTGAGGTTAGAGGAGCCACAGAGGACCCTGACTACCTTAGCTCTGGTCCCAGTTAGGTTCATTCCTGGGCCTACCTAGTTAACTTCGCTATGCCTTAGTTTTCCATTAGCAAAACAGGGCACTAACATAACTTCAGAGGATGGTTGTGAGAAGTGAATCAGTTCATAGGGATGCTGCGCTTGGAAGAGTGCCTCATGCAAAACAAACACTCGTGATTCTCAAGGCTGGATCCTGACTGAACCCATGGATCTGTTGTTCCCTCTTCCAAGATCAAACTTGACAGAATAATCAAGAGGAAAAACACCAGGAAATGGAGAAGAACATTGTGAGAAAGCCCATGGGGAAAGGGAGGACCTTTTTGGGATGAGTGAGTGTGGTCTTGGTTGTGGGGAGGTAGCCAGGCACGGCTGTGGGGTAACCTAGAGGAACAGCTCTGGGGTGCTGATCCCTCTTGCCGGCCTCCACTGCCTTAGAATCAGCGGTGCTTCCACCCACGCGATGGCAGTCTGATCTGGGTGGTGAGAAAGGGGACTCCAGGGCACAGCCCATTTACTGTGCTGTGGGAAGCTGAGAGAAAGAGGAAGGGGCAACTGAACTTGAAAGGTCATTTTGATTCCTCTCATCTCTAAGCAATATGGCAATAAATAATAAACTATCAGGTCAGTGAGTGACAATCTAAGAAGTGCCTCCCTGTGGCTGCTTCTCCTTGTGGGGTATCACTCTAGGGAGTGGAGCCCAACTGACTTGGGAGTTTGGGAGTCAGTCTTAAGGCTTATCAGCAAACTCAGTGGTACTGGTGAGCACTGTTTGACAGAGCAACATGTGCACCTGGGGGCAAAATAACAAGAGAGAAGAAGAGAGCAACGAATTCAAAAAGATATTGAGTCCTTGACTATAGGTTGGACTTCATCTGGAAATATGACAGCAAATATGACAGCAAACAGTTTGGAGGTTGCTTTTGTTTCTTGCTTGGGCTACACCTGGTGGTGCTCAGGGATTGCTCTGGGCTTTGTACTCACTTTATACTCAGAAATTATGTCTGGTGGTTTGGGGGATTGGAATGCTAGGGATTGAACCTGAATTGGCCACATGCAAGGCAGCCTTACCTGCTGTGCTAATTATTCCAGCCCCAGACTAGAAGCAGGTTAGAATGGGGACTGGGGCACAGCTCAGGTGAGGCCCTGAGTTTCATCTCCATGCTGTCCACATGAACTGAGTTCAACCCATGCAGTTCTGCAGCCTAGGAACCCCTGGGCCACAAAACAGCCAGGTGTATGTGAGCACCACAACTAAGAGAGTCTGAGTTCCAGTAAATACATGTGCAAGCATTGCAACTAAAGTGTATGAGCCTCAATCACCACAATAACAACAGCGATAAAACAAAAAGGGGAGCCTAGTAAATATGCTAAAGGAAATTAAAGAAGGGGCTGGCAAGATAGCGCAACAGGTTAAGCACATGCTGTGCATGCAGGAGGGTTTGTCTCCAGGACCATGGGCCCCTCAGACCACTGAGAGTGACCCCCAAGCACAGGACTACTCAGGAAGTAGGCCATGAACACTGTCAGGTGTTGTCCCTAAGTATAAAGCCATGAAAAAAGAAATCAAAGAAAATATCACCAGTATAATACCTGAAGAAAATCCAAAAAAACTGAGGGGACTCAGAATGACTAAGTGACAAAAGTGGCCACCTTGCTAGCAATGAGACTGAAAGTTTAATACCTGGTGCTGCCCATGTACACTGAGCAAGTCCCAGTAGTTCTGCTCTTTGGGACCCCAGCACAGTAACAGTGTGTGATTTTTGCTGCACCATGACCTGGTGTGTGCAAGCACCACAACTGTGTACTCCCTAGCAAGCAAAGAAGCTCAAACTAGTCAAGCACGATGGCCAGGTATGCAAGCCCCAGCAAGCATATATGTGAGCACTAGAGATAAGGACAAAGATTCCTGGGCCAGAGAAATAGCACAGGAGTTAAGGCACATGTCTTGCATGTGGTGGACCCCAGTCCCACCCCCAACACCACAGTCCCACAAGCATTACCTGGTACACTCCTGCATGGTCAAGCATTGCCTGGGTGACAAAGATAACCCAGCAGCACCACACCCTCAGACTCTCACAGTGAACTATCAACCAGGTTGGCAAAAATCACCCATAGGGACCCCCAAGCACTGCTTGGGATCCCCATCCTACTAAAAATTTGTGTCTACATAGAGGCAGGCTGGAGACAAGGGATACAGGAGGGAAACTGGGGTAGGAAATGGACACTTGTTAAGGGATGAGTCTTGGAACATTACAAGACTGAAACATGGGGCCAAAATTAAAGCACAGTAGGTAGGGTGTTTGCCTTGCACGCAGCCAGCCTGGGTTTGATCCCTGGCATCCCATATGTACACCAAGCACCTCCAGGAATAACCCCTGAGTGCAGAGCCAGGAGTAACTCCTGAGCATCACCAGGTGATGAAGAACCAAAATAAAAACTCAATTGGAAACAATTTTGTAACTATGTATCTCACAGTGATTCAATAAAAATAAAAATGTACTTTTCACACACATGAAAGAGTGTGTAACACTTAAAAGCAAGGTATTTGACACAAATACAATAAACATTCATATAAACAAAATTATCTGTATATCATTTCACTGACAGTACATATGAATAAGACAAAGTTCTAAGGAAAATAAGAGTTTATCTGCAATGCAGCTAGTGCTTTCTACTTGTTCTGTGCTCAGGGATCACTCCTGGCATCCAGGGAGCCAGATGAGGTACCAGGTTTTGAACCTGGGTCACCTGTATGCAAGACAAACGCCTTAATCTCTATAAGAGTGCCAGGCCCAGATTCTATTCTCAGCAGTATTGATCTCCTGAATACCCCAGGAGCTACCCCAAGCACCGAGTCAGGAGTAGTAACTGAAAACTGCTAAGAATGGCCCCTAAGAAAAGGGAGCTCAGATAGAGAAGGGAGCACCAAATAAAGGGTGTTGGGAGGATCCTCCCATGATGGGAGAAGTATGCTGAAAGTAGAGTATAGACCAAACATGATTGCCACCCATTGCCTCTTTTGCAAACCATAACACCCAATAGGAGAGAAAGAACAAAAGGGAATTCCCTGCCACAGAGGCAGGGTGGGATGGGGGGTTGGGGGGTGGGAGGGATACTGGGATCTGTGGTGGTGGGAAATGGGCACTGGTGGAGGGATGGGTATTTGATCATTGTATAATTGAAACCCAAGCACAAAAATTTGTAAATCTACAACTGCACCTCATGGTGTCTCACTAATAAAAATTAAAATTAAAAAAAAAGAATGGCCCCTAAACAAAACAAAATAAACAACAACAAAAAAATGAAGGACATAGAGGCCAGAAAGATAGTTCAAAGGTTAAGGTATTTTCTAGATATATATCGCTTCCGCCATAGGTCTCCTGAGCACCATCAGAGGTCACTCCTGAAAATAGTCAGGAATAGCCTTGGAGTACTTCTAAGTGCCTCCAAACAAAAACGAAAAGGGAAAAAAAGACACACAGTTAGCTAGCACTTTTTCTCAGCCTTAGAACACATACTTGTTTTGGGGGTGGGGGGTGGGGAAGGGTACAGTGAGTCACTTTCACCTGTGCTCAGGGTTTATTCCTGACTCCTCAGGGATCAATTCTGATGGTAGGCAATGGACCAGATGCAGTTGTGGGAATCAAATGGAATCAGCTGTGTGAAAAGCAAGTGTCCTACCCATTATACTATCTCTTTGACACTGGGGATATGGTTTTAAAGCTTAATGTGGTTCTTTCCTAGGCTCCCTTTCCACCAACTTCTTTTACTTCTGGAATTCTGACTTCCTCCTTGCCTCTCCATCAACTCCTCTGTCTACTCATCTTGTCGTCAGGTCTTCTCTGTTTTACGTATCATACCAAGATTTGTCCCTGACCTGCCTCTTTATCAAAATTACTCTCATTTATTGATTCACTCAATACTTTTGAGAAGGTACTATCACTAAGACAAATAAGGCAATTCCTGGGCTGAAGCAATGGTATAGTGAGTGGGGTGCTTGCGTTGCACATGGTTGACCAGGGTTCAATTCCCAACACCCCATATGGTTCCCTGAGCACTGCTTGGAGTAAGTAATCTGAGTGCAAAGCCAGGAATAACCTCTAAGCATCTCTGGGTGTGGCCCAAAGACAAAACAAACAAAAATAAATGAAACAAGGCAACTTCCTGGCCCCAAGGAGCTTACTGATATTGAGAATGCAAATATACAAATAAAAGGTTTTTTTCAGGGCTAGAACAATAGTACAGCAGGTAAAGATGCTTGCGTTGCACATGACCAACCTGGGTTACATCCCAGGCATCCCACATAGTCCCCTGAGCACTGTCCATGAATGATTTCTTCCTGAGTGCAGAGCCAGGAGTAAGCCCTGAGCATACCAGGTGTGACCTCCAAATAAAACAAAACCAAAAAGGGTGGGGGGATTGGTTAAAAATCTTCTTGGTTTAGTCTCTGGAGACGCAGGGGTCACGCCCATAAGCCACCTCCTGCCAGGCCAGATAATCTCATCATTGGCCACCGTCAGATCCCAGGGCTGCTTTCCTCGGAAGGGAGCACAACATGAGGCCCCCTATAACGATGCCAGTGGAA